GGAAGAGAGAAAAACAAAGGAGGCGACCAACGCAACCGAGACCACGATCCTGGCGACGAGAAATCAGATTTTAAACAATTAAAATCATTTGAGAAATTTAGTTTTAATTCAATTTGTTACAATGGATATTCTTTGCTGTGACATGCTGTCTGTATCAATTTGCCTCCAAATCTCCCCCTGTGTGCAAGGAAGGACTGGGGTTACCAGAGAGAGAGAGAGAGAGAGAGAGATTCAGTCGAAATGACAGAAAAAAAGAAGAAAAGGTATATCCCCAAATACGGGCAGGCAGCCCCATGGGGATATTAACAGTGCTAACCTTTGGCAGAAATATAACGAGATGATATTTGATTGAGAATTTTTTTTTCCAACATATCAACTCTATTGATATTCTTTAATTGGCCATCGTCCACATGGGGTTGTATGATATTTCCATTCAAATAAGGGAATAAAGACACGAGGAAGAGTAAGACCACGTGGATATGAACAAAATACTAAAAGAAAACACCAAAAATGATCTTCATCCCCGGATCCAAATAACGTCACAAGACTCGACATGAAACAAAAACTTCTACTGATTTATTCCACCGCAGAAAAATGACTTGGTAAAGATATTTGCGCCTTTATGCTTAGATGCACGAAAGAATCGCTGAAAAAATCGGCTTAAAAGTTTTCATGCTAAGACGGACGAGTTTGTCGATTTTGCGAATAGAAAAGTCACCCCTTGCTCCTACGACTGCATTTTCTATCATGCATCATAAAAGAAAATAATGTTCGTTTTTATATGGATGACTACTAAATCATGCCTCATAGGTAAGTATCAGTTTCATTCCTTTAATTATCTATTTATCTATCTATCCATCAAACCATCAATGTGTTTATCTATCTATTTGGCTATCCATATATCTGTCTGTCTATCTATTCGTCTTTCTATCTGTCAATATATCTATCTATCTATCTATCTATCTATATATATATATATATATATATATATATATATATATATATATATATATATATACATACGTATATACATATATATATGTATATATATGTATGTATATGTATATATATGTATACATACACAGACAGACAGGCACACACACACACACACACACACACACACACACACACACACACACACACACACACACACACACACACACACACACACACACACACACACACACACACACACACACACATATATAATATATATGTATGTATATATGTATGTATATGTATATGTATACATACACAGACAGACAGGCACACACACACACACACACACACACACACACACACACACACACACACACACACACACACACACACATATATATAATATATATATATATATATATATATATACATATATATATATATATACATATATAGATAGATAGATAGATAGATAGATATGGATATAGTTAAAGATATAGATATAGTTATAGATATAGATATAGTTATAGATATAGATATAGTTATAGATATAGGTATAGTTATAGATATAGATATAGTTATAGATATATATATATAGTTATAGATAAAGATATAGTTATAGATATAGATATAGCTATAGTTATAAACATATATATAGCTAGATAGATAGATATAGATAGATATATATAGACATAGATATAGATATAGATACATGTTTAGATGTGTGCGTATGTGTGTGTGTGTGTGTGAGAGAGAGAGAGAGAGAGAGAGAGAGAGAGAGAGAGAGAGAGAGAGAGAGAGAGAGAGAGAGAGAGAGAGAGAGAGAGAGAGAGAGAGAGGAGAGGAAGAGAGAGAAAGAGGAGAGAAGAGAGAGAGGAAAAGAGAGAGAGAAAGAGGAGAAAAGAGAGAGAGGAAAAGAGAGAGAGAGAGAGGGGGGGGGGGCTGAGAGAGAGAGAGAAAGGAAGAGAGGGTTGAGGGAGAGAGGGAGAGTAGAGAGAGAAAGAGAGAGAAAGGAAGAGACGGTTGAGAGAGAGAGGGAGAGTAGAGCGAGAAAGAGAGAGTAGAGAGAGAAAGAGAGAGTAGAGGCAGAGAGAGACAAAGAGAGAGAGAGAGAGAGAGAGAGAGAGAGAGAGAGAGAGAGAGAGAGAGAGAGAGAGAGAGAGAGAGAGAGAGAGAGAGAGAGAGAGAAAGAGGAGAGAGAGAGAAAGAGAGCGAGAGCGAAGAGAGAAGAAGAGAGAGAAAGAGAGAGAGAGAGAGAGAGAGAGAGAGAGAGAGAGAGAGAGAGAGAGAGAGAGAGAGAGAGAGAGAGAGAAATAGAAAGAGAGAGAGAAGAGAGAGAGAGAGACGCAGAGACAGAGAGAGAGAGAGAACAAAAAGAGAGAGATCTTTATATTTATTCATTTCCAGATCAGTGAATAAAAACATAAATTTATCTAGTAATCACTTTATTTCCTTACTGATATATCTATTGATTCATTTTTTGCTTATTTATTGGTGTATTTATTTACTCGTCTACCTCTCTGGAGGCGGAGAGCAGCAGACAGACAGAAAAAAAATCACACAAAAATTGAAGAAAAGCGTGGAGTTCGAGAAACAGCAGTGAAACATAAGGTAGGTGGATTTTCACGAGTAATATATTTTTTTCCGAGTGTGACTGCCCAATGACCGCGGTGTCAAGGACAGGCAGTCGGGCAGTTACGCGTGGTCGTTAGGGCGCACGGCAGTTTCCCCATTCGCCCGTTTTATCTGCGCGTTCGGTATTTCGTGCATAATTTATGGTATATCTAGTTCGTGGTTGTAGATTATAACAAAATGTTAAAAAAAGCATTTTCTTTCACTTTGTATACCTGATCAGGAAGAGAAAACGGGAAAGTCACAAACAAATTCCGGGGAAGGATGAAAGAAGCAACGGGATTGTGGGATGTCGGTGGGATGGGGAGGCGAAGGAGAGGGCGGGATGGAGGACGCTTCGCAGAGTGCCACGGCGGGTCGGCCGCTCGTCAGTCCGTCACGTGACGAAGATCTGGTCGCAACGTCAGAGGAAGACGAGTCCGTCCGACGAAGCGACGGCCGGGGAGCGCCACGAGCGGCGCCACTCGGACTCGGCCGACGCAGCCGGAAGGAAACCACGCAAGTATAAACTTTGACTCGCACAAACACATTGCACAAAGACAGCAAGGGCTCGCATATCCATTCAGATAAGCCGTTATTAACACGAGCAAATTCACACTGACACAAATGCTTCTGAACACGCAGATGGCAACAACACAATCGAAAGTAAACTCAAAATAAAACCATTTAGACTTTGCTCGAAACTGCGTAGATTTGCTCGCAAAGACACGGATCAAAACGAAGCAGGAAAATCCTGCATAACTTGAGATGGCGCGGAAGGCTGCGCAGAATTCGCAATCGCGGACCGAAATTGCGAGGGAATGAAAGGAATCTTATTCGTTTGGAAACAAAGTAACGCAAACAAGGCCATAAACTCACAAGCGCATACGTATGCCTACTGTAGCATCCAGCTTAACGGTCGTTTTCCTTAGAGGCGAATACATGTAATTTATCCTTGGTAGTTGCAATACTTCTGTGCCACTGGCATCATCTAGCAATCAGTCTATCTATTCTCCATCTATCTTTCTAGATCTCTTCCTCTCATTCTTTCTGAAGTGTGATAATAACCCTTAAGAAGATTCATAACGATGCTTATGATGGATATATCTAATATGAGAAGAAGGGCAATGCAGGAGAGTGAAGACGAAAATAGAGTAAGAGAGATATGGGTGGATTGAAAAGAAATTATTTGGTGACGAGTGTAAATAAAGTTTGTAGACCAACGTTGTAGGCTGACAACTAATATTACTAATTTCATATGTGACCAAAGTTTCTCGCCTCGCCTGTCTTTATGCTCTCTCTTTCTCTCTCTCTCTCT